GCCCTCGGCCCCGTCCGCCTTCTCGAGCATTCTCATTCTCTCTCGATCCTTCTCAAGAGCTCTCCCCGGACACGTGACCACTCACTAGCCCCCCCACCTGGGGCCCCTTGTGTGGACTCTGCAGATCACGTGTCTACGCGGTCAACCAGAGTGCCATGGCCCAGGGCAACCCTGCCCCTGGACTGACGCTCACCCACTCCCCCTCGTGGGAGCCCCCACCACACTCTGTGCATGGTGCCCGCAATATCCCAGTGCTTACCAAGCCCCGCTAGGGCTGGTACTACACACAGCCACCCACACGGTGCTGTCCACGATGTAGGAACATCGAACGGCACAGCTCTTCCGGGCCGGCACCATCCCCGATGTCACTACACAATCAATATTTATGGCCACTAGGCCCCGTACTGTCCTTACATATATACTCCCAGGCCTTTTAGGGACTTAGGACAAAGGCCATCATATCCCGGTGCCTTGTTTGAACCTTGTGACCCCTGAGGGCCACTTCCACTATCATAGGACAAAGGCCATCATATCCCGGTGCCTTGTTTGAACCTTGTGACCCCTGAGGGCCACTTCCACTATCAGTGGTTAGATCTGTTGCTGACTCAAGGTGATGTTGATTTATTTACGGTGAGCTTGTCGATTGGTGTCTTAAAACGTGACATTCATGTGGGAAATCACAGCAATTTCTGTGGTTTTTGGTGGTCTGGGCTGTTGGTTTTGAGGTGTCTGTTCTGGAGGAGCTGTGCGCTAGGCCTTACGGCTGGAGTGAGTGAAGTCCACAAGTTTGCAGTGTCTTGTTATGTACTAATGTTGGATCTCCTCAGCTTGGCAGTTGAAAGAAATGGGGAAAGTTTATCTCTTTGCCTCTGTCCACCCCAGTAGTATAAACGCTTACACCACAGTAAATTGGCAGGTCACGTGTGGTAGGTTACAGTGTGGGTATTCTTACCTGTTCCAAGACATGTGGTCAGCATGGAACAGTAGTCCAAAAACTCTCCAGAGAGGCATCTATATCATTCCCTCGTCCAAATCCATGCTTTTTGAGCACCAGAATATGTTTTTCCCAGTCCATAATTGTTTCAAACCATTTCATTGCTGTCTGACAGGGGGAGTGTACGTAGTGTTTTAGGGTTTTTCATGTGTTTCTTGATGTTGCAACAAGCATAAGTTAAGGGGTAAAGTCTATTGTGTTGGTGTTTGAGCACAACGTGTTTTTTGTCACCATGATGACACTAGCAAATGGGCACGGATGGAGAATACTACGAATAATTGTGGTACACGTGTCAATGGCTTCGGAAATTAAGCTGAGCAGCGATTCAAGTAAAATAACTGTAGACAATATGGCAGAGAACAGCTCTGGTCACCTTTAAGAATCATCACAGCTGTTTAATGCCACGGAACAATGGATAGCCAAAATAAATAGGCATCCTACTGAGGCAAACTGACAGGCTGAGTTAGACCGAACATCACGAGGTTGATAGGGCCAGGTTTTAACAATGAATGTTCTGTAGCACATAAGGTGTGACTGATGCTCTGTCCACACATACTTGTTGCTACTATTGCTCCTGCACCTTTTAAATGATCTGGGCAATTCCAGCCCCTTAATTCCCTAAATCTATTCGTTCCACTGACTTGACTAAACATTTTAAGCATTGCCTTTTAATTGATAGTGTGTTTTTTCTATTATGACTGTCTATTACGGATTTAACTTAGGCGTCACAATTATATTTAAATTAACAATAATTGTTATACATCATATACTTATAAAACAAATAACTAAAAGCACTCTTTACTATTTGGAAAAATATCGAGTACTTTAGTTGTTCGGCTACATTGAAAGTTAATTTTAAAACGTCTTCGTCTCTCTGTCTCCCTCTGTCTCTCCTTCTGTCTCTTGTCTCCCTTTTTCTCTCTCTGACCCGGTTTCTTTTCCAGGCTTCCTCTGTCTCTGTCTCACTATATGTTCGTCTGTGTCCCGGTGCGTCTCTTGCTTTGTCTCCGTCATTCTCCGTCATTCATTTGTCTCTTCTTTCTTTGTCTCTTTGTCTGCCCCCTTGACTCTCCTGCCTCCACTGTGAGACGTGGTGGTCACATGACTAACAGTGGTCTGTAGTGCTTTTTTATTGTTACTATTTGGTCAAAATTGACACTATTTTAAAATAATTTGAAGAAAAAGTTAACATTTGATGCACCGCTAAATCCTAACGTACAATATTTGATGCATATTCAGTATCTGAGACTTATTGATCAATTTTAATTGAGAAATGCATACATTTTACACCTAATGTCCATATGTATAAAATGTCCATATGTCCATATGTATAAAATGTCCATAGGTATGTAAAAAAAAATGTGTATGCATATACTGGTCAGATAATTGTTTTTTTACCCTTCTATCTGGCAACAAAACTGACACCTTTTTACAAGGAGTCATGTTTGCATAGACCACAATACCTGCAGTCATAATGCAAACAAAAAACACAACTCTGATAACGTGCACTGTCCTTGAAGTTGATTGGTCCACACCCGAGACAGCTTTCCTTAGAGCCTAATCTCACATGGGTTGGACCAGATGACGCCAAAAGGCGCACAACTCAAAGACAATGCACCATCAGAGTATGAGAGCTCGGGGTAAGCATTTACACCATTGGAACCTCATTTGCCAGTAAAAATATGATAATTGTTTTTTTACCCTTCTATCTGGCAACAAAACTGACACCTTTTTACAAGGAGTCATGTTTGCATAGACCACAATACCTGCAGTCATAATGGAAACAAAAAACACAACTCTGATAATGTGCACTGTCCTTGAAGTTGATTGGTCCACACCCGAGACAGCTTTCATTAGAGCCTAGTCTCACATGGGTTGGACCAGATGACGCCAAAAGGCGCACAACTCAAAGACAATGCACCATCAGAGTATGAGAGCTCGGGGTAAGCATTTACACCATTGGAACCTCATTTGTCTTTGAGTTGTGCGCCTTTTGGCGTCATCTGGTCCAACCCATGTGAGACTAGGCTCTAAGGAAAGCTGTCTCGGGTGTGGACCAATCAACTTCAAGGACAGTGCACATTATCAGAGTTGTGTTTTTTGTTTGCATTATGACTGCAGGTATTGTGGTATATGCAAACATGACTCCTTGTAAAAAGGTGTCAGTTTTGTTGCCAGATAGAAGGGTAAAAAACTAATTATATTTTTACTGGCAAATGAGGTTCCAATGGTGTAAATGCTTACCCCGAGCTCTCATACTCTGATGGTGCATTGTCTTTGAGTTGTGCGCCTTTTGGCGTCATCTGGTCCAACCCATGTGAGACTAGGCTCTAAGGAAAGCTGTCTCGGGTGTGGACCAATCAACTTCAAGGACAGTGCACATTATCAGAGTTGTCTTTTTTGTTTGTATTATGACTGCAGGTATTGTGGTCTATGCAAACATGACTCCTTGTAAAAAGGTGTCAGTTTTGTTGGCAGATAGAAGGGTAAAAAACCAATTATCATATTTTTACTGGCAAATGAGGTTCCAATGGTGTAAATGCTTACCCCGAGCTCTCATACTCTGATGGTGCATTGTCTTTGAGTTGTGCGCCTTTTGGCGTCATCTGGTCCAACCCATGTGAGACTAGGCTCTAAGGAAAGCTGTCTCGGGTGTGGACCAATCAACTTCAAGGACAGTGCACATTATCAGAGTTGTGTTTTTTGTTTGCATTATGACTGCAGGTATTGTGGTCTATGCAAACATGACTCCTCGTAAAAAGGTGTCAGTTTTGTTGCCAGATAGAAGGGTAAAAAAACAATTATCATTTTTTTACTGGCAAATGAGGTTCCAATGGCATATACTGGTCAGTTAAGAAAACTATGAACATGAATACCACGATACAGCAAATCTACACAGCGTTTATAGAGTATATTTACCTAAAAAGCTATTCTGGATATTATATATCACAAGTAAAGTAAGAATCCAGAATTGTTGACGCTGATAAATTGTGGGGAAAAATCAGGTGTGTGATTAATTTAATAATACCAGTTTTATTGAGAGCACTTTATGCTGATTGCTAGCATGCTTGTGTGCTCCGTAACTGGGCAACCTCAAGTGATGGACTTTGTTAAGATTATAGAGAGAGATGTTGTGCTTTGCTACTGTCCCAGTTGCTAATTTTGTGTGCGTACAGTCGCCATGTCCAGCCATCGTATCCAGCCATTTAAATCGTTGTTTGGGATTATACAACCCCAGCAGTGCTAACGCGTAACATTTTTTTTTCTGTCAAAATGGTTGTGTTCATTGGCACGGCTGTCGGAGTTACCCTACCAGCACTATATTTTCAGAAAAAAATTTAGCGTGACATTCTTAAAGCAATCACGGAATAACTTGAAATAATTACATGTAATGTTTGTTTTGCACTGTGTCATGACATAACCTTTAAAATGTTACCAAATGTAGAAACGAACATTTGTGGGTATTTTCTCTCCACACCATCCCCCTACATATGTCACAAAGTTATACTGGGGAATGGTAGCTCCAATCACAACACATAGAAGGTTGCAACAGAAGCTTTTCTCTTTGTACTTATGTTTAGAGTCTTTATTTATATATTTAATCAGGAACTCATATCCGAAGTTTAGTTGAATTTTCCAGATTGCAAACAAATTCTTTTCGGGGGTTTTTTTGGAACACGTATTGGATAGTTGCGGCTTGGATTTTGAATTGTATTGAAAGCACAATTCTAGCCACATCTTGTTTACAAAACCCAACAAGAGAGTTCACTCGGTTCATGCCTGGAATTGTTTTTAATGAACGTTTTATTTGTGTTGTGATGACATGCTCTCTTTAAACGGTTTTGATAATTTCTGTATAAATATGTTTCCATTTATTAAGGACACTGTGACAACTTGGAATGACTGCATCAGTACAGGCGTACAGCCTTTTGGCGTCCTCTGGTCTAACACCTTTTGAGACTAGGCTCCAACGAAAGCTGTCTCTGGTATGGACCAATCAGTTTCAAAGACAATGCATATATTATCAGAGTGTTTTTTGTTTGCATTTTAACCACAAGTATTGTGGTTAATGCAGACATGATTCCTTGTTAAAGGTTTCAGTTTGGTGTTTTAACATCTTCACACCGGGTTTGTTGCCAACAAAATGGGAAAACCTATTCTCACATTTGAACTAACCAGATTTTCTGACCAAATAGTAATTTTGATAATCAATGTCAATGAACCGCGGGAAATTATTGACGAACTTTTGCTGAATAGATAATAATTACTGGAAGGTCACAAATAATAACACCAATCTAGGGTATTTATTTAAGGCAGGCTAGGATTGAAATGATGGACCAGAGGCAAATAAGAGATAGTTTGAAGTGCATTTAGAAAATATAAATTTGATGATGAAACCCAACATAGCAATGTCCTTAAGTATCCAAAATTTCAATCGGTGCATAATCGCTGCTATGACATTTGGATCAGGACATGGACACGAAGGAAATGGAACAAGAGCCGAAAAGTACCGAAAGAAATAGATGCATGCTGGGAAATACAGAGAGACAAAAATAGGAACAAGATTGATCAGACATGAAATGCAAATTATAGACTTCAAAAAGTCAGTGGGCCTCTAAACAGGGTACATCAATCGGGGGGATCATGACTAATGGACAAGATTGGTGACACAGTGGCAGCCAAAGGAGAGAACACGCCCAAGAAAGTGACCACTCAGATCATGTGCAGTTGCCTGATGCATTTTGGCATTGTGATGATGACATTGGGAGGCCTTCATCTAGCAGTGAATAGATCATGGTCGGCAATGATTATAATGATGGTGACATGCCTTGGTACATTAATGCTAACCGTTAAAACTTTTTTTCAAAATATGATCTCGGGTAAGGTTATTGTGAAAAAAAATGGGTTTAATTACATTTCTTCAATTTATTTGAAGAAACAAAAATGTTATGCACAAACAATGGGGAAAATAATGGTACTTATAAGAGAAAATGCGTGTAAAGATAAACATTTTTCGGAAAACAGACAATGGATCATTGATGATCATCTTCCCATAATAAATAGAGGCACAATACACAGTGTTGGGTGCAGGCGTGTTGGCGCATGTGAACTTGTGTGTGCGTATGCATGCTCATGTGTTTGTGTTGGAGAGAGCCGACCATTTCTGGTGCGCACGCGTAGGACTATAGGCAAGGTAGTCCGTAGCGCATAAGCGTGGCCAGAAAGTCAGGGACATACATTATATTGCTCATCTTTGTGAGAGGCAGTGCAGTCTTGACAGCAGTGGCAAAAAAGCAAGAAAATAAATAAATAAGCGGGTTAGCCGGGGAAAAGAGTGAGCGTGTGCAAGGACGCGGGCATAAATCATTTGCCGAGATGAGTTATGGGAACAGCATGGCCCTGCTGGGTGGCAGCTCGCCAAGTCTCTGTGACGCCATGTGACCCTCCCGACTGTGGGTGTAGGCGGACCGAGGGCCCTGGTTGGTTGAGTGGGTGGTGCTTTGAGCCTACTTGGCTCTGACACTCCATGGCAGCGAGCATATCAGTGTTACAGCCTCTCCTCCTCTCCACCAGTGGGGAAAAGGGTCTTCGGTGTACAGTGCTTATTGGTGTCCTGCAAGAGGGAATGATATGTAGTTCATATGTCAGATTTGGTGGGCGACAGCGCGATACGTGAAGAGTGTACTTTATAATCGCCAATTTATATTTTTTTCTAGTGTGCGCGAGTCTTTGGCACGGAAACGGTCCTTTGATGCCGTAAAAAGTTGCGGCACGCAAGCGAGGTTTGGTGTGGTGCCAGCGCTGGTTCTGCCTGTGTTGGGACTTGCCATGTCTGTCAGCAAGGAGTCTGCTGAATCGGCTCTGGAAATAAAATCGCAGGCTGACGATATTGTCGGCCGGGGCCTACCCTCTTCCTGCTATACACTGGCCGGCATGCCCTACTCGTCGTCATACATCATGGAGATCTACCGGAGCTGGGGCGAGCCGCACCCTTCGCTGTTTGTTGGCGGGGTGGGCGCCAGCAACAGTGTAGGCCGAAGTGGCATTAAAAGCCCGCTGTCTTCTCCCGATCAACCAGTCTGCCTCACTGGACCCCACGGGGGATTTGTGAATGGAGGTGGAGGCGGCGGTGATGGCAGCTTTGGTAGTTGCAGTACAAGCAGCAGTGGCCCAGGCAGTAACAACTGCAGCAGTGGTAACGGCATAGCAAGTAGAAGCAAGAGCGCTAGTGGGACTGGAGCTGGCATTCTGACTGGGATACAAGTGCTGGGGGGCACGCCGCCTCACTCGCTTCTATTCCTTGCCCATCCCCACAATCATCACCAGCAAGCGAACGGCCAGCAGAAGCAGCAGCACGTGCCGCAGCCGATGATGTCGACGCAGCTGCCTCCCTTGCCGCCTCCCAGCGCTGCACAGTGGCTTCACCCGGGCTCTTCTCCCCACCCACCGGGCCAGGTTTTCTTCCGTGAACCTGGCTGGCACTCTGGGTCTCCCAGTCCCAAACCTGCTGAGCACGTGTTCTCCATCCACAGGTCAGCCGAATGCTCGCCGCTCACGCCTGGATGTTTTTCGCTTGTGTTTTGTGAGGCTTGTTGTGTTTGCGGCACTTGAGTCTCTCCGAATGCATCAGGTTCATTCGGTACATTTTGATGGGGTAAAAAACATAGTCTGTTAAAGGCAAAAAAAACTGTGAATTTGATGGAGTTAAATTGAATGAAAATGAATGTGAATTAAGCTGTTTAATGCCAATTTGAGGTTGTTTTTATTACCTGTTTGCGTGAGCTCCTGTAAAATAGTCGTACGATGGACTTCTGTAGACATGTGTAGCAGCAACATAAATGAAAGGAACGTGCCAAAACGATGTCTAATTTACAGTATGCTTAGTTGGGTGCAACATCTTTTTTTACATTAATCCTGGAAAAAAATATGAACTACCATTCTTGTTTAAATTAGTTAACATGCAGGTCGATTGAGCCGTGGCCATGGACTTTATAATGGATCGAGTTACGGATTTAATTTAGTTTGTCACCGTGTGCAGAAAAAAATTGGAGAGTTTTTGAGAACTGTGCTAATTAATATTGTGTGATACTGCAAACCGGGCCTGGTTAATTTTGGGAAAGTGATTATACTGCAGTCAAATGCTCTACCACTTGGCTATACCCCTAAAAAATTGATGATACTGACTATGTATGCTATATTTGCCCTGAGCAGTAGAACACTAGCTTACAATTACCTAGTGTTAATTTTTGTTCTTGTTTTTTATTGTGGAAAAAAAGTGCAAAAAAAAGGAAAATGTTCACAAACTCGCAAAACCGTAAATATAGTCTTCTTTTTTACAATTAGAATGCTTTTAAATCAATCCAGGGTATTTGAGTTGCTAATGTTTCCAAAGTAATTTGAAATTCAGGAATTACGAATCTTAAAACTACCGTGTTGCATATATTGCATAACAGTGATGGCTGGAATAAAACATTCCAAATGTATTTGTTCAAACTGCACCAGCGTATATATGTTAAAGTACATTTCGTAAACAATATGGATTTTTTTTATGGCACCTACTCTTCTGAGCAAAACGGACATATATGGTTATGCTGTGTCGCAATTTGTTTTATATATTTTTTGGTTAATTTGGAGTTTAATGAGATACCAAAAAAAAATCCACGATCGAATGAAAAATCTCGGCTTACGTTGAAAGATTGCGTTGAAAGATTAAATGTATGCTCTACACAGAGTGGCACGTACAATGTTTTTAAATTTCATTTTCCCCCTCACTGTTGAGTTATTTTTACATAGTGGGGCCTAAAGTACACGAATGTATTTGTAATAATACTATGCTCCACTATTGTTAATAATATTTACAGGAACTCAAGCAGTATTGTTCTCATTGTGTTAACGAGAACCTCTTTGCAAATGCTTTGTAAGACTTGGTGCTGTTGTCTGGGTATTACAACGCCATTGAAATTCAGTTAATATTTTACCAATGAAAACGGACATTGTGTGTATATATATAAAAAATAATTGACACATTAAAATAATGGATGTAAGAAATTTCAGTTAATTCTAAATAATTAAATGACAAAATATGTTAATGATTGTATCGTTATAATTGTTATTGCTTTCGTTGTGCATAACGAATAATAATAATTAAAAGCTTGGATGTTGCATAACAGTCGTAGGCCCACTTGGGACAGAATGGGTATAAAAAAAGTGTTGGTAACAATAACCTAAGGTGTTCCGTAATGGCCGTGGTCATAAAAAAACGCATTTCACAATGTTCATCTCTTTTTACGATGAGAAGCATGAGCGTATATTCACTCTGCACACATTTAGCTATGTAAGGTGATGTGTGTGCGAGTGCCTGTAAGTGTGTGTGTTGAGATGAGTGGGTTGCATGCGGTTACTTTACTGCACTACAATAACAAGGCATCCTGGGTTTCCATGCCTGGTGCTGCATACCGATTGCAATGTTTGTGTGTAAAAGAACACAGAGACATGGTGATAAGATGGAAAAATATATTCTCAACAAATGGAATTTATTTTGCTTTGCAGATTGTTTAAATCCATCATGGCAAACATTTCACTATCGACGTTAATGCATATTTAAAATTGCTTGCATGTGTAACGCTTCCATTAAGAGCCATTACATCGTTTCAACTGTTATGTTGCAATAATTGATTCCTGGCTGGTCTCTTTTAAAAAGCATCATTCGCAAAAGTCGCATTACCCAGGAACAGTGCAACTATAAAACGTTTTACTCACCGTGGAAATCTGTGTCCCAGAATGGTTTCGCACAAATGATTAAAACGGATGCTTTATGATGCCGTGCACTTGTTTTTCAGGGGGGGGGGGTAACTTTTCCACCACCTTGATAATGTCTGAACATTATGTGCACGATGTTTATCATTTTACTGTAGGGCCCTCACAACCACACATCCGGACTGTGGTCAAGTTCCAGGATTTCTCTTAAAAACAAAAATAGGGGTTGGCAGAGAAGATTCAGAAATGCCCGGGTGTTATTTATATCGGTCCTCGCAAGGTCATTGGTATTATAAAAAGTAATACTCGTTGAACAGAAAAAAAACACTTCCAACCATATTGTGGCTGTAGAGGCGTAAGATTTCTTGCAAATGCATGGGCCACGTGCTCGGACTTTTGATTGGGCCCTTGTCACAGTGATCCTCAAAGTGAAATCCCAAATGTCCTGACCAGTTCACTTAACCTTGCGCTTGATGCGAGCTATTGCATTCCATTACTCAGTCGGAGTGTACATAGCAAGCATTGCCCCCTACTGCAAACATCTGAGTAGGAGTCTCCTGAAAAAAGAGCGATTAGACATCACTGAGGCATACCTGGGCAAATAAGCATCACGGTAATTATGACGATGATGCTGGAGCCCTATACTTTGTTTTCTGCCTAGAAAAAGAATGTGGGATTTGTATCTGTTCTACAATTATTTATGTTTAGAATTTACAAAAACATGAAAGCATAGCAGATACAGCTTAAAGTCACTGCATGCACGTTTTCAAGCTGTGATTGAATAACTTGTGGAATCATTTATCTTTCAAACATACATGAAAGAAGTAAACAAACCCATTTGCAGTTCCTTGTTTTGAGAGACTGCAAACAAATGCCACTATGTGCATGCTTGAAATTGAAGCGATACTGGTGATGCTCATAAAGACATTTATTACGAGTTCTTTTCATACGTCGATCTATGCTCTTTGAAAGCACGTTGTGTTTGATTCTCATTTTGCACTTACAAATATTGAGCGAACATTTTTTTCAAGCAGGAAACTTCTTTTTGGTCACAATCAGGAGAGTAAAATGTATCCCATTACTTGTAGTTACCCACACTTGCAGTGCCAGTAAATTTTGTGAAATTAACCATTTGTATTTTTCTCCCCAACAAGGGTGCTGATTTTTTGACCCATTTACAACTCTGGTAGAAAGGAGTGCACCACTGCATGCTGGAGAACGGTCCATAGAAGCAGATAACACAGAAATGCTTCTGAAAGCTCTTCGAGTGACTTCTTATACACAATAGGGGGCAGTAACCTTCCCACCGTCCCTGCTGTAGAGTCCTGTAACGTTTATCGCACAACAGGCAAACCGATATTTCAAAATCTCAGAACTGGAATTTAGCCAATCCGTGTGAATTTAACATGGTGTATTTTTTTTGCACAGTCATTGCTTGCTGGGCTGAAACCTTCATCAGCTCGCTGCACTTGAGCACCCCGTTTGATCTCAAGTGGCTACCCAGATTCAAACCTAGGTTCTCAGCAGTACCAGCTTGGCACTGACCTCTGAGCCACCCAGCCATCTCATTGTATATAAGTAGACAATGTCTCGCCACTTAAAAAAAAAATTCACAACCCATCAGCTGCACGGCCTTCTGGGAGTGAATTTTAGTAGCATTGATTTCAAGACAAAAAAACTGTGGACCAGTTTCAACAATAATTGTCTCATCAGCAGTCATGCTCGCTTGAATTATTGCGAATGAACAGCGAAGCTTTATTGTTAAATCAATATTGGTGTCTCTATAAAGACAAAGCTGTTTGGAATCATCTTGGTCTCAGAGTAAATGTCTTAACAACTCTCTTTAGAGATGTTGTTTTTCATAATCACTTGCATCTGTAAGGAGTTAAATGTTAATTTCGTTGATGTGTTTCTATTCAACTCTTGCCAGTTGTGAGATTTTCCTCTCTCGTGTAATACATCATTAATTATCTTCCAATGTAGCCATGGTATATTATGCTTTCACATCAGCAGTTTGATGAAGACATTTAAAAAAATAGAATGTATAAACGTTCACTCAACTTGCTCATTATAGGTTTTATGCAGCTTTTGAATTTCCTGAAATTAAAATCTATTGTTTTCCAAATAAGTGATCTTTAAATGCTTGTGATGGTAAAGCTTTAAATCAAAATTTATATTATTTAGCTTACCAAAATTGCCGTTTGAAAACGAAATCATCGCAGTCATATAACCCATCTGTCCAAGCCTGAATCAGACTATTAATTCACATATTCTTAATCCAGAAATATTTTAACACTGTAATTGTCGTTATTTTATTGATTTTGTATCTGTTTTTTTCCCAATTTCAACATGCTTGTGCAAGCCAGGTTGTTGTTTAACGCACTTGGAAAGTGACTTGGAAGAGAAAGGTTTAATAAGCATGAACTGTACAAAAGAATGAGTATAGAACAGACTGACGTGGAGGGACTTAATTTGGCCCCATTGTCACAGAAGCTGTTAGAAGGAATAGAAAAAAAGAATGTTTCGATGAATAAGCTGTGGACGTCGCTTATGTTGATGTCAATTAACACCAGCAGTTTCACTTACACTAGTCGTTTTACCAGACAGAGTGCTATTCAATTTCCCTGGCTCCCTGTGGCAGATCATCTGTGGAATTCCAGCATTCTTGAAGCCTCTAAACTCACCCGTTTGAGGATAACATTGTCACCTAATTTCCTACGAGCTCTCTCTCTCTCCTGTCTCGGGAATGCAATGTGGTAGGTAGCAAGTAATATCA